CTGTAACTCTGTAACTTCTGTCGGTGCTGTGCTTTTGGAAACCGAATTTCCCAGAGGAACCCACCCGAGGGATTAATAAAGTTTTATCTTATTTTATCTTATCTTCTATGACACAGGCTGGAGCTGGGAGTTAAACAAACTAAACATTTAACCACTGACTAATGTTTTAAACAGGGTTACAGGTTTGGAGTAATGCTGCTCCAAGGGACAAACCCTGGAGATTGTTTTAGGGAGAATGTGCAACATTCTTGTATGTCTCATTGGGGAGTTGACACATGGCAAGAGCGTGTGGCACAAGAGGAGTGTCATTTTTCTAATTTGCAGATGTCGTGAGGTGCCATGACGAGAAGGAGTGACTGAGGGGATCATCCACAAGATGGAAGCTGAGGCCAGGAGAGAGGCTTCATGAGGATCAGAGATCACTTTCCCTTATTACTGTGACACAACTGCTAAAGTACTACATTATCCATACTACTGGAGAAAGAACTACTACTCTGTGCTGTTTCTTTTCACACTGACAGCCAGTTACAACCCTCCTCCACTGTCATCTGTGCAGGAGACGGTTGTCACAGTGATGGCCACGTGGTCCTTTATACTCAGGATTGTTCTGCTCTCCTGCCCCCACCAACCTTCCTTCCCTTCTCACTCTCCTCCCCCCACCTCAGACACCTCCAATTATGTAACACCGCCTCTTCTCCTCCACAACCTCCTGCTGAACAACCAATCAAGTTCCTCAACTCTGAGTGACATCACAGCTCCGAGGAAGGGCCTTAATTAATGAACCATGTGTGTGAGAGAGAGAGCGAGAGTGAGCTGCCTGGTTGCTGTGGTGATTGCAGTCACCTTGCAATCACCCATAATGCACCTGTGACTGTGAGAGACGACAAACTGGTCGTGTTTACTGGTCACATTTTCCCATCCTAATGTCACATGACATCACATCATCTGGTTCACATCAGCAGATTGTTGTGTGTTCTGTGGTTCAGGCAGACGGGACTCAAACTACCAACCTGACAGCTGAGAGGCTTCAACGTTAAATGGCAGAGGTTGGAAGCTGAATCAGCGTTACCTCAGCGATTTGGCAGCTGCCATATTGGTTTTTCCAGCAGGATGTTGTTTGGTCACGTCAGCACCTCTACAGCACCAAAGAGGACACGAAACGTATACTCAGCTTGTTTCTACCCTGGAGCCCTCCTCTAACAAACGAGTATATTTTTTAGAGCATGTTTAGTGCCATCTTGTGGCAGTATAGATCGTGATGTCACTGGGTTTGTTGGCTGTTTTCTGCTAAGAGACTTTCATTGGTTTAACTAGTGACAGATCACTGAGTGGAAAACAAGGAGTCCAAAAAGAGAGTGTGTGTTTTAGGGGTCACCTTTGCCCAGCTGTTGGCTTCATGTTAAAAACATCAATATAGGGTCCACCCTCACTCTCTCTATCTATGATTAGCAATCAGTCAGGTTCTTCATTGCTGGTTAGCTTCAGCTAATAGCTGTTATGTTCAGTTTTATAAAGCTTTCTGAATGAGGGCTGTGGGGAGGAGAGCTGTTTCGGTCCTGTGACCGATGCAGTCTGACACTCCTTATCAGGTCGGTGCACCGAGCGAGTGGCACAGTCAGCTGATGTCCTTAGGATGCGATTGCTGCAAAAAATTGTTCCCCCAACACGTGTTCTGTCCTTCCATCCTGCACTTAATTCCTTCCTTTCCTCTTTGTCTTGAATAAAGCATACATGGTGGTGGGATGGCGGTTGCCGGGTAACGGTCCTGGTGGAGCCATTACTCAGAGGAACGAGGAGACCATGAACACTGCTGTTTAAAAGCTGCCAGCGGCCTTTTGTTCAGACACAAAACTTTATTTAACATGCAACTCCTCACACTGTGCAGCAGCTGAATGGAGGCAGTGATGTCATCACCACCAAAAGAAGGAGTGGGGATCAAACAGTTTTCTGTCTGGGAGGATGTTCACGTGTTATCGATCAGGCTGATAGTTGATCAGCTGCTGGGGTGATCGGCCCTTTAAAGCTCACCACAGTAAATCAGTCAGCCATGTTCCCTTTCTTTGTGAGGTGTTCACTGACCCGTTGATGCGCATGAAGTACCCTGTTCTTTTTTAACATCTTCAGCCAATGGCAGGAAGTGGAGGCTGTGGAGGGCTGTGATTGGCTGCCAGGAGGAGTAGGGTGAGCTCGCGTCAAGGCTACTGTCAGCTGACAACCCTGTAAGTACGGAGATACTAGGATTTCCTCCGAGTGAACGATGGCGAAGCAAAAAGAGACAGCAGGGAGATACGAGGTTTCCTGACCACAAAGAAGCCCCCCCCCCAACACCACCACCATAACCACCACACACACACTCACTTACACACTCCTCCTCCTCCTTCATTTGCCCTTGTCGTCTCTTTCTGTTTGGTCATGAATAAATGACAATGGTCTGTGTGTGTCTATGTGTGTGTGTGTGTCTTGTGGTGTGTGGTGGTTGGGCATACTGCAGCCTCTCGACATGCTGATGGAGGATGGGGGAGGGGCATCAAGCTCTGAAAATGGATGAGGACAGGTGGGGGAGGAGCAGAAGATCTGGTTTGTATTCAGCTCTCACCACCTGATCCTGCTGATGCTGTCAGCATGGAACACCACACACACTCACAAACACACACAATGTTGTGGTTCTGCAGGTTCATGGTCCTAGACTCAGGTATGCTGCCTTCTACGATGCCTTCTCTCTACTTCCTGTGTAAGATCACATGATTTAAGTCTGACAGACCACAGCACCCCCACAGAGTTTACCAACCGGTGTGAACCCTTTCACCCCATCCCTGTTTCCATGGAGACGGGCATCATGGTGTGCAGTGCCTCCTCTCCTGCAGCAAGTTCAAGTCATTATTTATACAGGACAACACTGAGAACCCGACTCTGCCTTCAGCCTCAACCCATACTGCCCAGGAAGAACCTTTGACATAGAACCAGAACTTCAAACAAAGAACCAGAACCTAAATAAAGAACTAGAACACAGAGAGACATAACTTTAAGCAAAGAACCAGAACATTAAACAAAGAACCATAAACATAACCTAAATATAGAACCAGAACCTCAAACAAAGAACCTGAATCTAAATAAAGAACCAGAACCAGAACACAGAGAGCAATAACTTCAAACAAAGAACCAGAACCTAAATAAAGAAGCACAACACAGAGAACCATAACTTTAAACAAAGAACCAGAACATTAAACAAAGAACCAGAACACAGAGAACCAGAACTTTAAACAAAGAACTAGAACCTAAATAAAGAACCAAAACCAGAACACAAAGAACCAGAACTTCAAACAAAGAATCACAAGCAGAACTTTAAACAAAGAATCACAAGCAGAACTTTAAACAAATAACCAGAACTTAAACTAAAGAATCAGAACACAGAGAACTATCATCTTTTTGATGAAGAACACCTCTGACCCTGTAGAGACCACTCACAATTACACTAAGTGATGTTTCCTTAGCCTGACCAAACAGCAACAAAGTCGTACTGTCTAAATTGATGGTGATGATGATAATGTGATGATAGTGGTGTTGATGATGTCGATTTGATGATGATGATGTGATGATGGTTGTGTTGATGATGTCGATTTGATGATGATGATGCGATGATGGTGGTGATGATGATGTTGATGTGATTATTGTGATGATGATGATGTGATTATGGTGGTGATGTTGATGTCAATGTGATGATTGTGATGATGATGTGATGAAGATGATGATGCTGTTGTGATGATGATGACGATGATAGAATAGAATAATATAGAATAGCTCTTTATTGTCATTGTACATGTACAATGGTTTAGCGCCATCTTGTGACAGTACAGAACGTGACGTCACTGGGTTTGTTGGCCGTTTTCTGCTAAGAGACTTTCATTGGTTTATGTTAGCTAACTAGTGACAGATCACTGAGTGAAAAACAAGGAGACCAAAAAGAGAACGTGCGTTTGGGGGACGCACATATACACATGAAAGATGGTGAGCTAAACTCACACCTGCTGAGTCCTGACAGG